TCGCTGACGCAACAATGCTAAAACCGGGTTTCGATACCTATCGTTGGCATACTTTTGTGTTTAACAAACAAAAAAGCTCTGTTTACCTGATTGGCAATAAAGATAATATTTATAGATAAAATACGATGTCTTTTACTAGTTTTGGCGTTAAAAAATTCGTTGTTATAAGAATTTTCTGCCTATAATAAAATAAATTAAGAGCAAAGTGAATCGAATCCGTATTTTAGCGTTGTAAGTCCATAAACTCACTGGTGTCACACCAGGGGGATTTTACGTAGCTACCAAGGATGATATCTGCAAAAAGGAGGCCAGTTTTCCACATATTATAATCATAATGATATGGAATTTTAACATTAAAGTTTTGAAGGTAATTTATTACTGTTGGAGCGGTCAATGAAGATTTAAGGTTAAAATAATAATAAAATAAACTATAATCTAGCAGAGGTCGCTGTAAATATTCTTGCCAACATGGGTGGAAATAAGAAAGCACAACGTACGAAAGGAAATACACGGGTATTTGACATTAATTTTATATTATAGCAGTTTAATTTTTCTTTATTAGTGATTTATGCTATGTTACACTGAAGTAGGTAATAATTAGCTTTAGAATGTAGATAATACTAATGCTAATTGACAACATTTTGGCGAACTATAATTTATAGTATAAAGTGCAACTAGTGAACTACAAGTTACACTAACTTGGTAACTTACTGAGTTTAAGTTTCAACCACTTGTTAATGTTATAGATTTACAAATTACAACCGCAGAACTAGTATTCTGTTACAATGATATTTATGGGCTGACGAAAAACAAATGATATAGGAATGTGGAGAATGGATAAAAGCCGGACGAGTATATTATTGCCTGGATGGGCCACTTAAAATTAAATAGTACTAAATCATAAATGCCATAGCTCTACTACTACTAGTAGTAGTACAACTACAAGTAGGGCTGATGTACTTGTCAGCCTTACACATGCCTTATTCAAATTTGTGGGATGGTCCATTGCACAGTCAATTTCCTTCAATGTTTCAAGAAATACTAAAATAAGTTCAACAAAACACAACCTTAACACAAATATAAATTTTTATATCTTAGTTGTATCTAAATGTCACAAAACCTATATGACTTGTGAGAATGAATTATGGAGTTCATAAGTTAGAACCATAGGAAATCTTATGACAAATGAGATGGTGATGTTTGAAGAAGCTATTCAATAAGTAAAAAGAGAGGTATAATGTATAAGACAATAGAGAAGCAGCTGAAAGTATTGCAGTCTTTTTATGTTATAATACAACATACTGTTTTAATTATGCCCTTGTAATACTAAAGATGTGTAAGGTGTTGTTTGTTTTGTAGTTGTACTGTTTATTAACAATGTAAAAATGTCACACTTTTTTTTCCACAACCTGTATGTACTTTATTCCTTCTTAAAATTCTGTTGCCTATCAGCATAAGAAGTTGATTGTAGCAAATTTTCATTAAAAATTCTGTCATTGAATTATTTGAAAGTTGTTTTAAACTAAGTATGCCTGTTAGTTCTACAGTGAACCAATGAAGTTCCAAAAGAAGCAATGGAAGATTTTGTTCATCTAAAAAGTAGAATGACAAGCATTTATTGTAAATTTTCAAAACTATTTTTAATTATATTAGTCTTGGCCTAAACTTAAAAAGCATTAACAAGAAATTAAATGGAAATGTTTTAAGTGTCTAAGCAATTTAAAGTGAAGTAATATTATTTTTAAAATGTTATCAGGCAGAGGTTATTCATTGTGTACTTTGAACTTCACCTGTTGAAAACAAACTTGTGTGTCAAAATATCAGTCCAGAACCAATCCTACAATGATAGATTCTTCATAATTTAAATACTGAAGTAATGTTATAGGATTCTATTTCATCAAAGTTTATGAGCTTAGAACATGAAAGTTTATGTACATGTAACTAGCCTGTTTGTATGACCATTTTGTAAATATTGCTTGTGAATAACTTAATTTTTAAGTCATAATTCAAGTAATTGTAGATAAAATATTGTAACTTATGGATCATATTATTGTAATTATTAAGTACTTAATTTTCTTAATGTGTTAAGTAAAACTTCAATGCATATATTTTTTCTTCTAATAATTAGCCTTCTAGCAGTGGTCGAAGTGCTGAACTTCTATCAGCTAGTGGTGTTAGTGTGTCAGGTTTTTTGGGATTCACTGCTCTCTCTACTGATCTACCAAGTTATGTACCAGCTGTAGGTCAACAACTCTCAGATGATGTGGAGCTGACCATTGATGGAGATTTCCGGTTAGCAATGAAGAAAATGTCAAAACGAGATGCTACCACAAAATTGAAAGTATGTTGTTTTTCAGCCTTTATGGTTCAGTTTAACTAGACTGCCTAAAACCTTTAAGTAATTCTTATCATCTTTGAGAGTTGAAAAAGTGTATAAAAACCTGTGTATTTAGGTAAAGTGAATATCAAGTACAAGATGCATATTTTGATGAAGCTTTTTAGCCTAATAAATTGTACTTTGTAAAATTCCGATATGGTACATTACCTCTGGTCACATAAATAGCTATTCTCATTCAGTGCTGCCTTCTATATGCAAACATTTTTTTCACAAGCCTTCTGCCTTCACTCCATTGGAAATGACTCATTCTAATGTGTGTCTCATGGAAATAATCATGCGACAACCCTCCACCAGTGAGAGTGCAACACACTCTCCTTACTCACGTGACTACTCTATTCAATTCTACTATACCATCATTTCTCGTTTGGCAGAACTTGTGTTCTAACATTTAGTTTGTGCTTTCTTCAAGTGTTTTATTTTAATATTTTTCTGTATCTTGATATTAATTTCTCTCAACAAGTTTACTCTTTATTATACAGTACTGATACTTGTAACTTGAGTTATTCCGAAGTGGAATTATTTTATATTTCTACCTGGTTACGAAACTTATTATTTCATTACAAAAAATTATTAGTGTTTCTGCTAACACAGTTGTTTGGTTATTCATTTTGCATCATGAATTTTTTGTTAACACTTGAGAGGTTATATGTTCTATTATTAGCACTTTACACAGGCTTCAGGCCATGGTACTCCTGAGGAAGATTTTCAGCTTTACTTCATCAGGAGATTGATCATCCTATGAACTGACTTTTTTTTCTGGCCTCGCCTTGAGTTTGAGGACTCACACAATTGCAATACAGTACACCGACTTTGGAAAGATAGGAAGTAATACTGTCATTGTTTTTGTATACTTTTATTGTTATTATTATTATCTGTCATTATTTGGGTTTCAAAACAAAAGTTTCACTAGATTGGTTCATACTCATAGTCAAGTTTAGGTTAGCCATTAGTCTTAGTTGTACTTTTCTACTATTCCATTATCTTAGGTCTTTGTTATTTTATTATTTTAGGATTACCTGTCATTCTTCTTACTGGTATATCTATCATTAAATGACTTTATAGTTTTTATTCCTATTCACTTGGGTTGTGTGGAACTCTTGAGTCAGGGTTCACACAAACTTATCCCAATATTGTACATACTTATTGTTCGGTTAAGTATTTCTTTTAGGCCTTAGTGATATTCTTTGCTATGTATTGTTCAATTAGACTTTTTAAATATTTATTTTTGGTATACAGGTAGTTCTACTTCTGCATTAATTACTTTAAGTATCTTGTCTCATTAGGCATAATAAGTATCTGTTATTTTCAGTTTCCCCATGGTTCTTTTTATGGGTTTATCGATTTTAGGTTATTTATCTTTTCTTCAACATAGAACATCACATCCATCTGTTTATTTTGCTACACAGTTTCTTACGATTAATTTTGTTTAACTTATACTTTATATTTCTTGCTATTAATTTCTTTTAACCTATAATTTCTACTTCTTACCATTAATTTTGTTTGTGAGGGACCCTGGGGTCCGAGGCCTACCCCACCTGCTCCCAATATTGCTCGTCTTCTTTCTATACCGGTGGCACCCATTTTCAGACGACCTAGATTTTGTCAGTTTTCCTTCACCTTCTTATACAGTGCATTCCAGGCCTCTACTGCAGAATGTGCCAGGCCTGTCTTAAGTTATTTTTTCAACACATTTCCTACCCTTACTCCACTTCTTTGTCCTTTATTTTCCTTCCACCCTTACCCATTTGGTTTAGATTGTAATTTGATTGGCCTTTTCTTCCTTGTATCCTTCTTCCCATCTTCACTTCCTGGTGTCTTCATTCCTATCATGCACCTTCCTTTTTTCCCTGCATGTCTACCCTGCCATCAGTTGGAGGTGCTTCATCTGTCAGGCATTGGGAATATATCGCCTACATTCATCTCCCATTCTCTGCTTTGGGTAGCTGTTTCTTTCTTGTTGGGGTGCCATCATTCACCTGTTGCCATCCTTCACTCTTTCATGTGACTGGGTAACTTACCTTTTCTTATATATATATATATACCTCTTCTTTTTGAGGGGCATGTCCCTCTTTTTCTTACTGGATCCTATTCTGTGGCGAGTGGTGCCTGACCAGGTATTCTTTAACCTTTAAAATATGCACTGTTCAGCCATGTCGACTTGCATATTATGTTCTATGGCCACGCAATGCACACTGTTGAGATGGGGTGTTCCACAAGATTGCTTGAAGGTTATCCTCACAATGGAATTGCTTCATAAATATGCCCATTCTAGATCGTACTACTCATGGACTACATGGGTAAAGCAGAAGGGAATAGCTGTCCATTCCTGCCATGTCTTGTATTGAATAAATTGGTATGGTCTGCTTTTAAAAATAGGGTTTCATAGTCACTCATTGCACTCCCTCGGGCATTGATGTTCCTCCAGTCTTTCCATCATGTTTCATCCCTTCTATTGAAGTTTGGGAGTCCTTACCACTTTCCAGTTTCAACCTGCTGGGGTGGTGGACCATGGAGGCATCCTCCTGAATGGTTTAACCCTGTCACCCTGTCCTTTACTGTGCATGACTCAAGGTTTTAGTGTCTTACATTCAAAATTTTATTAAGCTATTTTTTGTTTATGCTATACCAATTAGAATAACATAAAATCTTAGCTAATAATGCATATTTTAATAGTATATAAGTTTTAAGTTCTTAATTTTTCAAGGCAATATTTAAAAAAATCCTGAATTTCCACTAGTGTGACCCATGTGACACATTTTCTCTTAGCATGTAATTATCTCTATTTGATCCACCACCCCTCAAAAAATTACGAAATTAAAAGTAAATTACTCTCTATAAAATCATTATTGCTCAGACAAACCATAATTTTTATAGCCTTCAATTATGTTTGGTTACAGAGCTATCGATTAAAAATCAGACCTCTCCTGCCACACCCACCTGTCACATCCTCTCTTTCAGAATACGTTGATAGTTTTCTCTTACGTTTCATTATATGTTATCTGTAACCAATAAAAAGTCAAGGTTTTCATCTATCAAATGGCGTATTGTATAACGTTATGTTCTGAACAGTTGTATATCAATTTCATTCAGAGTACCAACATTGTTCCTGTGGGAAAGTTAACTTGGATGAATTTGTAACGGCTCTTGTCACATAGTTAGAAAGCCAGGAAAATTTTGAGAGCTAAGTGAATTTGTCTACTTTTTGAATGTTATTAGTCTACATTCTTTGGTGCATTATTTAATTAAATAAGAATTATTAAGTGCATTACTATCTATAGTATCAAAAACTAGGGTTAACTCTCTTCGAAACCTGAAGAAAAAAGGAGATTGGTCAAGTATTTTATTTCTTGTTTTTCATGTTTATTCTTTATGTATATTATAAAAGTAACTAAAATGTAAAAGTAAGGATCCTTTCAGGTTTCTTAAGATTAGATCTGGTAAAATAAATAATAATAATATTCTAATAAAAATGTTTCACAAGGCACAAATGCGAGCAGCTTGTGGGTAATGAAATTTGTCAGTGTAACGTGAGCTGCATGTTCCCTGAGTGACTTACAACTTATAATGGCATGTATAGTAGTTAAGCATGGTTCAAAAGGCAATAAAACAATAAAATTTATTTATAAATTCCATTGTTTTTTACCCACAAATCTCTTGAATGTGCTCCTCTGTTTGTTGCCCCTATATACCACACCTTTTTCTGAAGGGCGAATAGTGTACTTGGTTCAGATGTGGTGCGATTCCTTCTTTTCTTCCCTCGCAACAGTCCCTCCACCTATTCAATGTGGGATTCTAGCTATTTATGTGAGAGGAGATAATGTACCGTATCAGAAGGTATAACTTTCCTATACTGAAAATGTATTTCTGATAGATACTTACCTCCTCCCACTCTTCCTCCCTACTGAAAACCGGTGCTTCCATTTTCTGCTAAAACTCGAAGTGATAGTCTGGTAGAATTGAATAGTCATATGTGTAACAAGATTGTGTTGCACTCTCATTGGTGGAGGACTGTTTCATGATGATTTGCATGCATGAAAAAAATTTTTGCTTATAGAAGGCAGCACTGAATGAAAATAGTTACTTATGTGAGGGGAGGTAAGTACCTATCATAAATACATTTTCGGTATAGGAAAATTATAATTTTCAAAAGTGCTAGTTTAAAATCAAATTTTGTTTATAACTTTGTTGTGTATATATATATGTCTATCTTGAGTTTATTGACTGATCGTATTAATGACTGTATGTACTTATACAGTAAATTAAGCATAAGCTAGTTTGCATTGAAACTTAATGACAAGTATGGTTTATGAAACATACAATACAATGTTTTTCCATATCAGAATTTCTTTTACAATTAGTATTATAAGTTCTAGAAGACATGGAATATAAGTTTGTAAGTACACACATGATATATTTGAAACCATTACTAAAGTCAATCAGTTGGAACTGTTTCGTACACGAAGATTTTAGTTATTTCAATAACGACTCTTTTTGTCAACCTTAGAAAATTATGAACAAAATGTTTTGTTAAATACTAATTTCATATTTTTTCATAAAACAATCTTAATTTTTTATAATTTGCTTAAGATACATTTATAAGTACCAAGTTTGAATCTTTTAGGCCCTCCATGAGTTTATGGATTTATGCCAACTAAAAGATGAAGATACAATTAAAAGAATGCTACCTTTTTGGCCAAGACTGTACATTAAACTTGCAGTGGTAAGAAATAAAACATTTAATTTTTCTAATATTTTTAGTATTAACTGATAAAAAGGCCTGTTTCAGTATTAAGTATATGGACAAGTAACTAATTTTTCTTACACTAGTCCTTTTCGTTTAAAGTAGTAACTGTTTTTTATATATCTCTTATTAAGTGCAAATGAAATATGTTATAAGTTTATTTTTCAAATATATCTGCTATTAAAAGGAACAATTACAATACTATATTGTCATCAGGTGACCTGGTTGATTACCCTTGACCAAATCATTGATCTATCTGTTTTAAAACATAATATTTCTTAAACTAACATTTCTCTACTTAAGCAATTCTTATGTGAGATATAGATACTGTGAAAACATGGGTCTGCAGTTCTCACACCTACCAAAAATATAACCAATAGTCAATCAAATTTACTTTTTTAAGTCTATGTTAAATAAAACCATTCTCAAACATCATCTCACCAAGTAGCATTGTTTGTAATTATACCAAAAAATGATAACTATTCATATGAAATCCTTAGGTTAACCAAACATTTTAAAGACTTAGGTTTTACAGTTTAAACTGCAAAGTTTTTAATTTCTTCTGCTGCAGGCTTCTTTTTTTTCACATGTTTACCAAGCTCTTGTTCAAGTTATTTTTGCTTTGTATGTAAGACCAGTAAGTCAGATAATTTTTTCAACAATTTCACAGGATTTTACATGAGAACATTGATAAAGCACAAAACACAAAAGTAGCATGTGTGTGTAAGACCAAAACCTTAGTTATTTTTTAGTTGTGTAATGAAACTTGATGTATTTTTGTACATAAATTATTATCTTAAAAAACTGTACTTCATTGACTGTTTAATTATTTTAGTGTGTGATAATTTTATTTATAAGTGTAATATTGAATTTTATAGATCTTTGTTACCAGTTCTATTTCAATCAGTGTAAAATCATGAACGCTAATTTTTTAACTGTTCAGGTTTGTGTGTAAACTGATTTAAAGAGATTGAATAAGAGACTTATTCATGTGTATGCAAAGCAAGAAATGTATTTTTTAATAAGCATGATATATCTGTTGCAAGAAAATCTTTTTATTTACACTTAATTAATCTGGTTACTTACCACCTCTCAGGATTCTGACAGAAGAGTTCGTGAAGCCACCCACCATGCTCATGAATGTTTAGTTTCAAGAGTCAGACGCAATCTTGCTCCACACCTAAAAAGTATCATGGGAGTGTGGGTGATAACACAGTGTGATCCTTATGCCCCTGCTGCTAGTGCTGCTCAAGCATCATTCAGATGTGCCTTTCCCGAAGCCAAGCAGGCAGAAGCTGTGTTGTATTGTTTAAGTGAAATATGCAGTGTAAGAGTTTGTGTTGTTTCAGCACAAATGCTAAAGATTTCTTTATTTTTTTTCTGTTTTATTCAAATGCTTGCATTCAAACCAAAATTATCAATCTAAGCAGCCTATTAATAATTAAATTGTCCTGAAAAATTAGTCAAAGACTAACATATAGTGAGTACATTGACTATTTTGCATGGAAATCAAATTATTTTTATATAGTGTGTGATTCTAGGTTTTTAATTAATATACATAATATTGATAGACTATAGCACTGCTCTATATAAACTTGATTAGTTGTATGATATTAGCATATCTGTTTTTATTGTTCAGTTTACTTTTTTCTTGTATTATTTCTGCAAGTTATTATTAACATTTTAAATAACATAGAAGTTCATTCCTTTTTTTCTGCAAAATTTAGATTTAAAGTATATTTTTAATATCATTATAAGCTATTTGATCAGACCCTCATTATCCCTTAGGCCTTAAACAAAACTGAATATGCTGTTATTGTAATTAATAATGTTATAACTAGTTTATTTTTATATAATTTTTGGGTTTTTTTTTTTAAAGGTTAATTACAATTTAAATTTCTACTTCAAAGCAATTAATTTATCAAACTGGTTGAAATACTTGTTTCTCTAAAATCTTATAAGTGTAAGTTTTCAACAATCTGATAAATGTATAAATTAGTATCATTAATTATTTCCAAACTGTTGCAGTATATCCAGGATATTTTATTCAAACAAACCAGCCAATCAATAAGTGACCCAAAGTAAGTTGAACATCTTATTTCAGAAACTGGAAAATTCATGATGTAATATTATTTCAGCATTTTTTTTGTAATCATTCAAAACAGCAAATCATTGAAAAATACAAAATAAATAGAACAAATATAGTTTTAACTGAAGCAAATTACCAAATTCTTGAGCATTTTATTGTATTCAAATCAGTCAATTTATTAATAACTCAAATTAAAACATTGAAATATTCAGTCCTTTTTATTGAAACAAAGTGCTAATTGAAATAAGTAGAATAATTTAACCTTTTTATTTCAATAAAAGAGTAAATAAAATATTTAGATTTTTTCTTGAAACAAGTCAGCAGTTGTGTGAAGGATCCATAATATGCTTCAAACATATTTCAAAATATCGTGAAATATCAACTATACCTAACAAACTAATGAAAAATACAGAAATCATTTTGCATTATTTATGTCATGGGTTTTGAATATTTCTTGACTGAGATTCTCCTAAAAGTACTCTTGAAAAGTACTGAACAAATATTTTAAATATGTTTTCAAAACCAGAGTTTAAAAGAGATGAACTGTGAATTACACCTAACTTTGTACTATATATATTGTTAAATTAGCATTTTTTTTATTCTTCAGGATCACATCTGTTGAAGATATGGAGTCAAAATTTAATCGGATGGTGTCTAGTAGTCTACAAGGTCTAAAACTTGTCCTTGAATTACTTACTGAAGAAGACAGGCTAAAGACAGTGAAACACTTATCTAAAGTTCTTTCAGAACCAAAGTTTTGGAAGTTTCCTAAAAGCAATGATCCACAGGTGCTGACAGTATTTTTTTCATAGAAAATTCAGTAATAGTCCTTTTTTCCTTTTGGCATTTAATATTTCAAAATCTATGAAGAAAATGCTTTTGTGAATCTTTTTATCGGTGATTTTTAATAGGACAAATTCAAGTCCTCCATGAATTTCAAAGTAACTGACAGTTCTTAAATATATGAAAATATTTTAACTTAATTTCAAATATGGAGTTTTCAATATATATATATATATATATATATAACTATTTAATTCAATTTTAAGATTTTGCTTTGTGAACTAAAACAACTGCTAATTTTCTAGTCTAATTTTTTTGTTAAACCTCAAATGTAAGATTTTGTATAAAGTGTAAAAGGAGAAATATGTAATGTTTAAATTGAGGAGGCAGGGGTAGCTGATCAGTTTGTTGTGCGAGTGTAACAAATATAATCATCTTCCTAATATAAATTTCGTCATTTACGTTATGAGCGTGCATCCATATCATATAACTGTCATGACTGTGAATAAATTTGGGTATGTGAGTTTAACAGCAATTAACATTTATAATGTGAATAAGAAAGAAAGGTCTACCTTTCACAATGCCAAGGATATTGCTTCTTTTTTGTAAAAAAAAATAATATATAAAAATTCAAAAGTCATTATTATTGATAAATGAAATAACTAATTGTGGATACAAGATAAATGAGTAATTTCATTATATTCTACTGTAGGTATCATCATTATGTATTTCATATTAGTAATACAGTATCTCATTTTGATGGTGTGGAAGTAAGTACACAAGATGTAATAAAAATCAGTCAAAAAGCAATTGATAATTGATTTTTAATTTATCAAAAAAAATTATATTGTAAATTATGCATGAAACACCCTGGAAATAGCAATGCTCAAAAAGGAACCTACATAGATTTCTTTAAAATTTGGATCAGAAACATCTTCAGTGTTAAAACTGTTCAGGCAGTTTCTACCTTTAAATGATATTGTATTTTTAAGACTTCTTACTGTAGTCAGTGGTAGTGAGACAATGTCAACAGAAGGTATCAAAATGCATCATCTATGAGCAATGTTAGCCTCATCATTACGTTTAATTTAATGTACTGTTAGATCAATTTTAACTTATGCATGCTGGTAGTAATAATAATTTCTTGTCAAAGCTTGAAGATAAGCATTGGAATTACAGTCTGCTATCTTCTAGATTCAAGGTTCCTGTTATAGCATTTATTTTATATTTTTAACCCTTTTTTCTCTCTCTCATCTGCATATTCATAGTTTTGGAATAGCACCTATTTCTTGTTTGTAAAATAGTGTGCAAAGCTTATTAATTTTTTTCTCTTCCATCAGATTCGAGGTTCCTGGTATAGCTTGGTATCAAAACTCTGTCAACTGTTTCCTGATGTTATGAGGCCCCATATTGACAAGATTTGCTCTCTCACACTCTGTTGTGTGGGAGAAGAAGATCCTGTAATTGCACCATTTGTGTGGGATAGTATTCTTTCTGTTCTAGTGACATTTGAGGTACATTAGATTTATTGTGTTTTCAGGTTTGATTATTATCAGGTTTATTACTCTAAGTAATGTTGAAAACTTGTTTAAAATTTTGAAAACAATCCATTAATAAAAATTACTTCTTTTTTTTCTTTATATAGGAAGTGTTTGTTCATTGGATGAAATATTTAGTAATATCATTAGACAGTTATTTTTTTGTGAATATTGGAATTGACATACATAGCTTGTGTTTAACCCTCTCACAACAGGTAGGTCAAAGTGCACATGTCACAACCTTTTATAAAGTTGCCTTCAAAATTTAATTAAACTATTTTCTTATCAGTATATATGAATAACCTTGACATTAAGTTGTAAGTTCATAATTTTGTAAGGAAATGGAAATATTTAAATAAATCCTCATGACATTTACTCTCTAGTTCTTCCCCCTTTTCTAGTTTATTTACTACAGAATTAAATGTAAATTACTCATTATAATATGGTATTACTAAGGCAAATTTAATTTTTATAGCCTTCGATCTTATTTGTTTATGGAGTCATAAACTAGAAAATCAGAACCACTTGCCACACCCACCCATAGACCTAGTATTTTGACACGACAAACATCCAATTTGAACCAGTTGTTAGGGAGGATTGTCTAAAGTTTTACTAATACATGGTTTTACTGATGTTCAGTTGTTCAGCAAACATTAAATCTATAACATTACATGAAGCAAAGAACTAAGATTTAGGTGTTTTCTAAGTAATGTATAATGTATTCTTTCTTTAACGTTACTTTCATTAACAATATTGGTTTGAATGTTTAAGGTATTTTTTATCATTTTTTAATATCATATCATTGGGAGTAATTGTCATTGTCAGCTTAGTGTATAGATGTAGGACTAACCTAAGTCTCCCAAGCTGGCCAAACTTCATGAGATATTATTGAGATTACGATAAAAAATATCACTAAAACCAAAGGTACCCACCTGATGAAACAAACATTGCATTCAAATCATTATAAGTAAGAATGATGTATTCAATTATCTGTGTTCACTATTTGATTAATGGTTAGTTTTGATCTGTTAAAGTAGATAGCTTGCTTTGATTGTAAGTTAATTTCTATAGATGACTGTGAATGTCTATATTTGTATGTTCTAATAACTATTTGTTGTTTTTATTCTCATAGTCTAGTATAATTAAAAAGGAGATTTTTGTATGCAGTACACAATCTGTTTGCTTTAGGATTGTTGGAGTCATGTAAATGTGAGGAAGGCAGTTCTGCCTCATTTGTGGACACTGCTGAAAGAAGGTGGGAAAGGAAATGCTGATAGAACTTTCTGCAATCTTCTTCCATTTCTTAGCAAGATTCCTGAAAATGTTATTGGTGCAGACTACACATTCTATGAACTGTTTTTTGGAAACATGAGAAAAGGGTGTGTGAAATTTGTTGTTAATATTATGATTATAATTGAAAGATTTGTGATATATAGTATTTATTGTCTAATAAGTTATTTTATTTATTACAATTTAAACTACCTGTAATGTGAAATTAAATTTTCTATATTTGACCCTTTTAACTAATTTGTCATAAAAATAAAGATACCAACATGCATTTATTGTTATAACAATAAAATTACAGCAGTGCATTAATGAAATTTATCCTGAGTTACTTATTTCTTTTTTCTTGTTTCATTGGAGCTCGTGTGTCATGGCCATAAACATAAAATTAAACACAAAAGTTGATATATTTGTGTGCTTGAGACGTTTTTATCTAAGAGTTTTCTTTCTTTAGTTTTTGTGTGTGGAACAGTTTTGTGATTTTTAGAGTTTTTGTTTAACACATTATGGGATTTATTTTAATGATTTATATTACACAGCTGTGACATTTGTTAAATTATTTGTGTAATATATTTGCATGATTTTATCCTTTGAAATTCCATTTTGCACTATTGTGTAATTTTCTTTTCAATTTGTATATAATATACTTATTTAATGTTTCATATGATGTGTTTTTAATTTCTTTGACATTTTGATCGGACATTTTTGTAAATTATTTCCATGATAGGTTTTACAAAACAATTAGATGTTCAATTTTTGTAATCTAGAAATGCTGGTAGTATTATGAGTAGTTTTACAACTTGAAGTCTGTTGTGTTAACATAATTAATGTAACTGTTAGATAATTCTTGGAAGTTGGAATTCTGACCATTATCATGCACGTACAGTGCCACACTGATGTTTCATACTGCAATACCGAAACCTCATGAACCAGGTTTATTTGGTTGTCTTGTGTTTCTTGGGTAGTCCTAAAGTAGTACTCTTTAAAATAACTTTGTTTTTTTTTCATCTGGAGATATTTATGCTCTTGAATAAAACAAAATAGCATTGTTAAATTTAAGATATTTATAATATTTAAATATTAATTTCTTTAAAATGTAAATGTAACACGTTATTTTACTCTTTCATGTGAATTATTTCAGTATTTCTTTTTTTTCAAGAAAAATATCTAAATTCTGTTAATTACAATGTTTTTCCTCTTTCAATGACTTGAAAACAGTTTGGCCTCAGAAAAAGTTGCAAACTCTCCTAGCGAGTGTAATTCGATCATTAAAGCATATTTCGAATGCTTAAAGTATGTAATTACTCAGCAGACCAAAAAAGAAATCTCCTCGAAATCCCTTGTGGATCTGCTTGTTGTGAAAGAGGTCAGTTGAAAATTAATTTTCTGAATGCGTTATTTTGAATTATGATTTTAACAGATAATTTGTACACCTGAAAACATTTATAATTATTTATAAAATCGTAATTTATGTTTGAAGAAAATTTTGTATCTTATAGAATTACTATGTATTCTGTAGATATAGATACTTTGTGTTTTTCTGGATGTTTTTATGATCCTTGTTAAAGATATTGTTTGTTGAGGCTTTTGTACATCTATTGATCATATCCTCTCATAAGTCAGCATATGTTTCATTAAGATGATGAGAACATTAGGCAGAATTGTGACTGTGGTGATTTTCGTTTGTTGCATGTTTCCAATGCAATATCTTACCACTTCTCACATAATAGCTTTTCTCGTTCAGTGCTACCCTCTGTTTGCACAATTTTCACTTGCCACTAGCTTTGATACTTCCACCCACTCTCATGTGTTCACATGTAAAACAGCTTAACTGTAGCATGCAATAACCCTTCACCAATAGGAGTGTGACATTCCCTCCTTGTGCAGCTGGCTCTCTCTATACTGTAGAGCTCTATCTGCACTTCCTGATTTGGCATAGTTGAGTGCAGACATTTCTAACTTTCGTTTGCATTTGCAGCCAGTAACCATTCAGTTGAGTTGAAGCATGCACATTACACACACCAGGTTTCACATTTTCTGTTGAGGAGGTTTTGATTTTCGTACTTTGTGACTTCGGGTCCATTATGCAGCCTGCTGTATCTCCTTATACCAGACCAGATATTTCTTTTCCTCACAAACATGGACAGAATGACAGGATTTGGATAGCATGTTTCTACCCCCTTCCTTTGCTGTGCAATCCTGAATTTCACCTATAGGCATTTCCAGACTGCCTACACATTCTGGGTAGTTTCACAGGTATGTTACCTTTTGTCTATATCCCTTGTGTCTAAAGATTCCTCTCCTTTCCTCCTTAATTTTTCCCCTTCCTTGGATTACTTAGTTTTCCACCCTCTCCAGATATCATGATACATGCTGATCAAATTATAGCATAGTTTAGTTTTGGGGTTAGCTTGTCTTGTTCCCCCTATACCTCGGATTCCTATGCATTAGTTTATCAACATTAGGATTTTCTTTTGTATTTAATTCAAGTGTGGGGATCTGTCGCTAATACCACTGTAAGATTTTCCCAGGCCCAAATTTCCTCTCTCCTTTTAACCGTTACCATCCTCCCGCATTACCTCTCCTCCATCCACCTTCTATCCAGGGCTATCCACTGTTCCCCTGAGGGGTTTTCGGAGGATGCTCACTCCGTCATGTGTTCCACATTGGTGCCCTTGCCTTCCTCATCTTTTTCCATACAAACTTGGCTCAGCTGTTGTTGGGATCTCCTAGGTATGGATGCACATTTATCTCACGTGTGCCTACCCATGTCTTATTTGCAAGATCTTCATCTGGCTCCATTTTTTCTCTGGTTGGTCTTTGGAGATCTTCCTGACTCATCGGAGTCCAGGGTGGAGGCTGTTCATCAACACTTCTCTTTTTTCATCAGTGGTCTCTAGTCTTTTGCAAACTTTCCTTCTCCTGTTCCTGTATCCCTAACCCCTCCTCCCACCCCTTTGCCTGCTCCCCTATCCTGGATCTCGGTAGCTGGTTGTCAAATTGCTCAGCACCAGGTCTCCTGCCGCCACTAGTGACTATACCATAGGTTTGGGCAAGGTCAGAGCACGTTTGATCAGGTTTGGGCACCGAAGAAGCAGTTTCATTTCAGTTCCATCTGTGCTTCATATGTTATCCAAAGGACTTTCATTTTCTAACTCCACTTATCTCATTCCCTTCCTTCATCCTCAGGATCTAGTTTCCTACCAGCATCTTCCCGAAATGGTTCACGCTCTTCTTCTCCAGAAAGCTATCGAACCTGTCAGTTACCCTTCTCCAGGCTTCTATTCCTGGTTGTTCATAGTTGCTAAAAAGACCGGGAACTGACATCCTATCATGGATATTTCCAGTCTCAACCATTTCATCAACCTTTCTTGTTTCACCATGGAGTTCTTCCTCACTCTTTGGTGGTCATTTATCCCAGTTCTTTGGATGACAAAGATGGATGTCTCAGATGCTTCTCATCCCTTTTCCCCATCATCAAGATGGTACCTTCATTTTGTCCACAAAGGTCAAGTTTCTCAATTCTATGCTCTTCTATTTCATCTGGTTTACACACCCTAAATATTCAGGTGGTTAGGGCCTTTGCCTGAGCTCTTCATTCTCCTGGACTGCAGCTTCATCATTATTTGGACAACTGGCTGCTGTTAGCTCCATCCCAACAAACATGTTACATGCACATACAGTTACTTCTATGAGAGGCGGCTCGTGTATGTTGGCTACTCACATTTTTCATCCCAACTCAATATTGTAATTTGTAGTAATTTGAGTTAAATAACACAAGAATAACTAGGTATAGTAAGATTGGTGATTGGTAAATAAAAGTATGATGGTCAAAATTTTAACTTAGAGTTTAGTGGTGTAAATTTGACTACAATGTTAAAATAGGCTTAGTACGTGTAACAGTACGTTCGGCTTAGGTATATTTAAACTTACTGGTAAATCGTAAAGCTGGTTAATTACATTGTTTTTATTAACTAAATGCAATCTAAAAATCTATTGTCTCTTTGTGTTTTAAGGATTAACTTGTTTTCTTGAACTTAGATCCATTAGTTTAAATTCAGCCTATAGTTATAGGTAGGTTATAATACAAATCAGGTTAAATACATTGTATCATTAACATTATGTATACATTAAAAACTAGTTATTGTTGTTTCTACTAAAGTTCTATTTCTAAGTTCTATATAATTAAAGATAAACTTTATTACTTAAGTGTGAAGACAAATTAGTGATAAAAACTAATATAATTGGTTCTTAAACGTTAGGCTTAACACTAACAGTGTTGACAATAGGGTACTGATATTTGGTAATGAGTATTTATTTTCAGGCTATAAGTATAAATATAATCATTAAGACTACTGTAGGAATTAAGCGTTCATAGTTTGTTAGGTGTAATGGGTGGTTTTTATTTGGGAACTCGGGACTGGAATGTACTTTTAAGGAAGCTAGTAATGAAGATGTGTAATTAGTATGTAGAGTTTGTAGGTTGGAGGAGATGTTGGAGGCTATCATAATTAAAGTAAAGGCAATAGATAAAGATAAGTGTAGACTGTTGGAAATGGCAGTAGGATTTCAAGAGGAACTTAAGCTTTTACATGCAAGGAATACATCAGCTAACACTGACTTTCAGGAAGTTAGAAAGAGTACTACTAGTATTAAGGCTAAAAGTAATGGAGTTAATTGCAATGAGCCTATTCTATTGAGCAACGAATTTCGGCCCTTGGCTACTGCAAACTATTGGAGGGAGGGAAAACAAAAGGGTCAGAGAAGGATGTGGTTGATGAGTAGATTATGGTTATAGGTGATTCCTTGACAAGGCATGTGGATAGAATAATATGTAGGGAGAAAAGAATCAGATTATGCTATCCAGGGGCACAGGTGGAGAATATAACTGACAGAACAGAAGATATAATAAAGGGGGCTTGCAGAGATACAGTTTTTGTGGTGCATATAGGGGCTAATGATGTAGGAAAAGGTAGGTCAGAGGAGCTAATTAATAAGTACAAGGGATTGATAAAGGCATTTAATGAAAAAAGGCCATAACTTAATTTTGTCAGGGATACTGTCCAGAATTAATTGTGGGGATGAAGTTATATGTAGGTCACTAGTGCTAAATGCTAGGCTTAGGTTAGTATGTAAGGATGGGCAAATTGGCTGGTTGGACCTGTGGGATCAGTTCAGTGAAAGAAGGGAGCTTTTTGGAATGGATGGTTTATATTTAAATAAATTAGGGGCTGGCTTGTTTGCTAAGACTATTAACTCAGCTGTAAGGGAAGTTTCAAACTAGGTCTAGACATTGGTGAGAGTCAGGAAAACTAAATGCAAAAAAAATAAGAGGCAGAGAAGAGTTTAGCATGGGAAATGAGTGTAGAAGTAGTTCTAAGGATAGGCTTAATTGTTACTATTGTAATGCTAGAAGTATAAGAAATAAAATAGATGACTTTAGAACACTGGTAGGAATGGAGGATTTTGTTACAATGGTAATAACTGAAACATGGTTAAATGTAGATTATTTTGATGACAGAAATTTCTTTGAAATACAGGGTTATAGGTTATTTAATAGGGATAGAGTATTAAAGAGGGGAGAGGAGTGACTTTATATGTAAAATGTTGAAGTTGAAGATATCAAAGATAATAGAAGAGATTCAATCCATTTGAATTTCTATTAGTGGATATAAAAGGAAAAGGCTTTTAGTGGGAATTTGTTACAGAACACCAAATGATACTGATGAAATTAGTGAGAAACTTTACAGTGAGATTAAGATTTCAGCTGTTAATGAAGTCATAATTATGGCTGATTTTAATTTCAGGCATATAGATTGGGAAATGCTAAAATAAAAGCATGAGGGAGACAGGTTTTTGGAAACTGTTCGTGATGGCTTTCATCACCAATTAGTCAAGGAACCTACTAGAAACAATGCTATTTTAGTTTTATTGTTAACTTCAAATATAGAAATGATCGAGACAGTGGAAGTTGGAGAATATCTGGGTTGCAAGATCATTGCTCTATTAGATTCAATGTTTTGCTGTATGTGGAGATAAGGAATAATGATATTTTGGTTACAAATTTAAAAAAAAGCAAATTTTGAATGGATGCAATAAGAATTATCTGTTGTGATTTTGACAGCCGAGTTATTTGGAGACACTTATCTAATGTGGAAAATTTTTATATATATAAGATAAACATATTCTTCATAGAAAGAAAAGGGTGGTTGCAAGTAAAAAACCAGGTTGGCTCATGAAGAGTATAAGGGATAAAATTAAAGAAAAGCATCACAAGTTTAAGAAATTTAAATTGACTGATATGACAGATTAAGAAAGTTGGTGAAACAGGAAATTAGGACACCAAAAACGATCTATGAGAAAAGGGCTGAAACTGTAAGAATTAACAGTAAGGATTTCTTAAAATATATTAATGGTAACAAAATGTTAGGATGAAAGATGATAAAGGAAGAATTTTATTTGATTATGAGATGGCTGGTTATTAAATTTTGCTTTTTCCTCGGTTTTTACTCATGAAGATTTAAGTAGTATTCCACATCTTGAACAGTTGATAGATGGAATTAAGATCCAACTATATGACTGCATTAATTCTGAGCTGGTTAAAACGAAATTGGGAAGTTTAAAAAATGATAAGTCTCCTTGACCAGATAATATTTCCCTAAAGGTTTTGAAGGAGGTTAAAGATTGGATATGTGGGCCACTTGCTATTATTTTCTGCCAGTATGTGAATAGTGGGCATATACTAGAGGATTGGAAGTTAGCTAATGTAACTCCTCTTTCCAAGGGAAGTTATAAAAATTGTCCCAGTAATTGTAGACCCATCAGCTGTGGGAAAAGTTTTGGAAAGTCTGTTAAAAGATGCTTTTCAAAGTCGTTTAACAAAGTTTAGAATTTTATTGGATAAGGCATAGGAGTATAGAAAGGATGTAGGAAAAAGATCTATGAGAAAAGGGCTGAAAATGTAAGAATTATCAGTAAGGATTTCTTTAAATATATTAATGGTAAACAAAATGTTAGGATAAGAGATGATGAAGGAAGAATGGGTTGCCTTCAGACATTGTGGAGGCAATAAATTTAAGTGAGTTTAAGAGAATGTATGGTAAATATATATGAATGATAAGGGAAAATCTTGCCTTAAAAGTCTTTTGAACATTTATTGAAAAGGTTACTGCTTATGTAGATGAGGGTAAGAGTGTAGATTTGGTGTATCTGGATTTTCAGAAAGCATTTGACAAAAAAGGCTTGTAAAGAAATTATCTCTTTAGTGTGGGGGATAAGTTAGCAAGTTGGATAGAAGAGTGGCTGAATGGAAGAAAGCAAAGGGTTGTTTCAAATGGAGTTCAGTCAAACTGGATTAATGTTACTAGTGGGGTACCTCACGACTCAGTCTTAGGACCTTTGCTCTTGATGATTTAAGTCAGTGACATTGATGAAGGAATAGTCAATAAATTACTTAAATATGCTGAAGATTTTAAGGTTGCTAGCTGTGAAGAAGATGCTGCTGCTCTATAAAATGATTTAGATCAAGTAGTGAGTTGGGCAAATAAATGGCCGATGGGTTTTAATTATAATAAATTCAAGATAATGCATGTGGGTTTCTCATAATTTGAATTATAAGTATAATTTGCATGGGAATAACCTTAACAGTGTCATGAAAGAAAAAGATCTTGATGGAATGATTGATCAGTCTCTTAAGCCATCCCAGCAGTGTACTGTTGCTGGTGGTAGTGCAAATAGGATTTTAGTTTATGCAAACAGAAATGGTGAGTACAAATCTTAAGAGGTTATAATTTCATTGTATGGATCACTGGTTAGACCACATTTGGAGTATTGTGTTCAGTCTCGGGCTCTCTATCTTAGGAAGAAGATTGAATTGTTGGAAAGGGATACTAGAATGGTGGCTAGGATCTTTCAAATTGTTTTCTCTTGAAAAAAAGAAGAGTTGGTGGGGATCTGATTGAGGTGTTTAAGATTGTAAAGAGAATTGATAGTGTTGATGCATCATTTTTTTTCATACTTAACAGTGAAAATAGTAGGACTATGGGACACGTATAAATTTTGGCAAGGTAGGAGTCATCATCAGCTAAGATGGTTTTATTTTTCCAACCGGGTGGTTGGCTTTTAGAATGAGTTGCCTTCAGACGTGGAGGCAATAAATTTAAGTGAGTTTAGAAAGAAGCTTGATAAATATATGAATGATAATGGCTGACTTTAAGATTTTTTACAATTTATTTTTTAATAGTTTTCATTAATAGGTCTCATGTTGTCCCAAAACGTTATGTTTTATGTTATTAGTTGGTATTTTCATACATTATGCTCTCAGCAGAAATCATCGGAACAGTGGGAACAGTTCATTGAGTATACTCTATTCTTTGTGAACTTTTATTTTCATTAACAGTATTGGTTAGAATATTTATTATATATATAGTTTTATTATTGTACTTTTATTATAAAATTGTTTTGCATTGTTAATCTAGATATAAGCTGGCAAAACCTTGTGAGATATTACTGGGTTAACAGCCAGAAATATTGTTAACAGTGAGCGTACCCAACTAATGAAACAGTAGATTCTAATCTTCATATGTAAAAAATATAAAAAAAAAACATATTTAGTAAGCTGTACTCGTTACTGGGTTTATATTTATTTTTTGTCTAAGTAGGTAGCTTGCTCTGATCAGAAGTAAATGTGAATTATGATTTCTGTCAAACTTGCACAAACAGTTTAAATTATGCCTCATATTTTGATGGGTCATTTAGAATATAATTAACTGATGCAACCTTTTTACTCTCAAATTTTGTTAAATGCAAAAAATAGCATCAGGAGATGATACGTAGACATATCTTATTCTAAGAAGCTCTGTCCATCTAAACACTTTGCCAGGGCAGTGGCTTAATACCCTAAAACAAATAAGTTTGCATTTTTTTTACTGGGATATATTTTGTTTACCCAATTTCCTTCCTGTGGTAGATTAATAATTATTAAAACTGTTTGTTTTAAATAACCTTAGTAACTTTGTATGTTAGATGGAAGGTTAAGTTAACTTGTATTTCAATTGAGGAATGTGTTTTTTGTTTACTCAAGCTACTTCCTGTGGTAGAAACTTCTCTGATGGACCCTCAGTCTAAGCTTGCCACTTCTGACTTGTATCCAAGACTTGGAAAACTCTCAGATATCTCGAGTGTGTAGCATTGACGGGAGAAGCTTCAGAAATCTTTCAACATGCTCTAACCCTGTTCTGGGAGCATTTTTTTCCAGTGTGTGACAAGTTACTTGACAACAACTATTGCTCCCCTCAACTAGCAGGATTGGAACGTCTTGCCAATTTTTTTCACAGTCTTCACTATCCAGATAAAATTCCAGTGAAAAGAAAGAAACAAGGTGTGAAATTTTTAGATTTAGATGATACGTCTGTGTCCAGAGGCAACATACTTGAAACTAGTTTCACAACAAGAACTTTAGAAACAGAAAGGAGCTGGACACTTTCTGATAGCTTATTAGTTTCCAATACACACAAGCTGTGTAAATTAGTATTTGAAAAACTGAAAGATGAGTTGGTACTTTCATACCTTAAGCTCTTAGCAGAAATGATTGGAACAGTGGGAAGTCCCACTCTATTTGCTGCATTGGTGAGTCCAGAAACAGACACCGAGAGTGCACCATGCAAGTTTTTTCTACAGACTGTGAAACCTTGGCTTCAAAAGTTTTCTGCTGAGACATCTGAAGAGAGCATTCCTTTCATTTTAAGTATTGTAGATATATTATTTGCTGTTTGTTTCTCTCTCCCATCTGATAGTGGAAAACTTCTTCTGGATGAAGTGACAGAGGTGAGTTGAGACAATATCCTGGACTATCAGAAATATTTAAGAATTGTAAATCTAATGTTTGGTGTGTTTTTTTGTTAACTTTCTAGCCATATGATTCCATACTGCATAAGATAATAGAGAAATGATTTAAACTTCACCTTTGGTACTCTGAAATTAATTTTTTTATTTTGGATGACAGAGAAATGAACTTGTTTGTTACTTTGAGTTTAGAATGATAAATGCTTAACCCTCAAGTTACTACATTTTCATACTGTTCACTGCCATTGAGGTCCATATATTGTATCATATTGAGTAATTTTATGTTTTTGTCTGTTAGAACACCTATTGTGAGACTTATTTTCACCAAAGGTCAAAATTGAAGATATAATCTTTTAGGTAGAGTTTTAATGGTCACAGTTTATGGTTTCAATTTTACCTATGGGGAGAAGAAAATAAATTGTAATGTGATTTCATCAGTTTGTCCACTGTATAATCCAAATAATAAGTTTGACACAATGGTACAATATTATTCACATACGTGAATTAATTTATCTATATTGTGAGTTAAAAGGACTAAAAAATTTCATAAATAAAAGTTTTATAAAATCATTCATTTTTTAAATTAAAATAAATAGATGGACACAATGTAAGTAAAATACAATTGGAATTATTTGCAATATTGTTCGTATTTTTGTTTACATTTTTTTTGTACGACTCATAATTTATTAGGAACCATGTATCCAACAACGTGATGGACCCACAACCAATTTTGTACATAAATAACTTAGAAAATTGTGTTTAAAAATGGATGGGGTCCATAACTCATGAGTTTTTCTAAGATAAAAGATAAGGTAATATGTTTTAAACAGTAATTACTTGGTTCTATGAAAAATATGAAAACAAAAATAAATTGGCATAAGTCCATGAAATTAAAATATACTTTCTTGAAGATTTTATCACATCCTACAAATTTAAATGATCCATTTTGTAATTTAATATCAGATTCAAAGCCCTCAAGTTGTGGAATGTCTGCTTGAACGGACCATGAAGTTCCACACTGAGAACTCGGTTGTTAGAAAATGGCTACAAGGAGATGCATTAGGACAAGCCATACAGTCTATAGCTGAGAAGTTGGTTTACATGAGCCTACAGGACAGTGCTAGTTCAGTGGATGATACAACAAATTCTATTTGGAGGGCCTTACAACTGTGTTTTACAGCTACTGACCACTATGGTAAAACAAGATGTTTTTCTCACTCATGCAGTAAAACATATGCACATAATGAAAAACTAATTGTTTTACAGCTAATGACCTATATATTACAACTAGGCTGCTTGTTAGTTGCTAATGACCTGTTTAGTAAAAAATAAACAAACTAGGAATTACATTTCTGTTGCATTGCTAATGACCTTTATGCTAATGGAACTCTTGCATACATACTAGGTTTTTTACTGTTATTATTGTGTATTATAAGAAAATGCAGGCCAGTTTAGTAATGCTTTTCTTTTTACTAATGACCAATGTGTTATTGAAGGAAACTATTGTTTACTGTACTGCTATCAATCTATTTGGTAAGAAAAGAAGGGGCTACTTTTGCCATAATGCTGTAAATTAATGTTCTATATACATAAAAAGAAAATACAGACATACATGCTATATTGGAAAAAGTAAGTTGGAGCTCAGTAATGTAATATGTTTCTTTCTGTTAGCTATAATCTAAGTCACAAGCTAATAATGAAAGTAAAACTTTTCTTGTTAAGGCAAAATTGTAATAACCCAAACTGTGGTCATGGACTTATTCTTTAACAGTTCCCTGGCATGTCACACCACTTTAATAATATAATAATACTATTTAACAACAAAGTGGCTCAGAGATATAAAAATTAAAAATTCTTGTAAAGTTTGTTCACCCCAGGAGGCCAGCAAAATTATAATTAAAATAGGTAAAAACAGTTAAAATTAGACATCGGGTTTTATACGCTATTTAACTTTTGATTCATTATATTTTTTCTGTTTGAGTTCAAAGACTAAAGCTTCAAATACATTTCTGTATATTTAGTAATTTTGCTTAAGTGTGTGTGTTGCTGTAGGATTGATTTCATATTTTATTATCAAGCTATTTGAGTATTTTTTTTTGTTGTTTTAAGGAGGTATTTGATATGCTAGACTTACTGACTTGGACACTTAGTTGTGATCTCTAAAAGTCATGCATTATAGGGGCAAAATCCAGAAAACTGTTGTGAAGCCTTTCACATAATTTTGTTTGAACAGAGAATAATGGTTGTATTTATACATATCACCACTGTCTGTCTTCCATGATTTGCTCACATTTATTTTCATGTGATTTGTGTTACAAAATGGTGCTTGCTAGATGGAATTGAAAATGCTGTAATTGCTTATATTGGATTTATTCTGAATCATGTATCATTCCTATTCTTTATTGTAGTGTCACTGAAGTAGTATATATCATGTACAAATCCAGATATGTAACATGTATTTATCGAGCGTATTTTGTGCAGAAATGTGATAACAGATCTTAAAAGAACTTTTGTTTCATTAATATATGAGTATAGGCTATCAAAAGTGAAATGAAAAATCTGACTTTTTGAGCTCATTCCAAAAAAAAGCCTGACATGGAAGGATTAAACAGGAAACTACCATGAAAATGAATCAGTTATATCTTTCAGTGAACCTTAACCCCATAGAAATAATCTGAAAACAGCATTAGAGATGAAATTTACGTATACCTTTCTCACTAACTACAGTAGATGTGTGGGGAAATGTCTTAATGAATAAATAGGAAACATTTCCCAACATTATCTCAATGCTCTGCATTTGAAAAAGGCAGGCAAGTGAAATTTTCCAATCCTGAGGCATCTTCAGGAGTGTAATTGCAACCCTTAAAATTTGACCCTCTGAAGACAGTTTACAGATAAATCTTTTTGTTTACGCTATTGATGGTTGTTTTAATAATCTAATTAACAGTTCTTGTACATAACTTTTAAAATATAAAAATGACAAACATACATGTTGGAAAATTCAGCTATTCTTATGATAATGGTAAGCTGAAGGGGTTTGGAAAAAACATTCCTTGAGTCAAAATTAGACACATGAAGGTGCAGAAGAACAATCATGCAGCTAAAAAGTGAAACAGTGCTATCTGTTTTAAGGTTGTTTGTTATTGGTTCTTAATTTCTTTTGTTCAGTATAGCTCTTTTATTTTTAATGTCTTGAGTGTAAATTAGGGCTTACTTACACTCGCACTGTACTATGTACTGTTAATTGCCTATATATGTTATTAAAAAGTCAGACTTGCTTGCTACACTTTTACTGCTGGTGATCTGCCTATTAAGGAAACTCGGGCTCATTTATCCAAGTTTAATACATCTGTCTACCAAAATAAAATATTTTCTGGCTTCTATACATGCTTTGACAGCTTTAAACCAGATTTGTTTTCTACCATAGCTGTGTACTAAACCTTTTCAGCAGTGCTTCATCCACTGTGAATTTACTTCTTCAAAAACTTGTTTTTATAAATACTTTAATATACAACTTCTGAAAATAAACTATTCTCACTAAGAAATCCTGCTCTGCCTCAGAATTTATATTCATTATTGTCCTTCCTTTCCCAAGTAGACAAGGTGCCCTGTCAGAACTCAGGTTCAATAATTAATTAAATTAAACTTCAAATAGGTTTCATGTCATCCTTTCAGATTCACAATATATTCCAAGCTAAAGACTTGTGTCTTCTACTCTACACACACAGTTTGTCTACCACCGTACTTTTTGGTGATTGTAAAAACACCCATATTGACAAAATACTCTGCCAGTTAAAAATATATGACTATGAACATTCATTCTAGTTGTCTTGAGTAAAACCAATTTGAAACCTTTAAATACTTGTGTTTCTTCTACACTTATACATAGTGGATATATCAAAATCACTCCTATTTCCATTGACAGTTTCAAACTTTTAACCTTGGGTTTATACAACCACAAACTGATGGTCAAAAAAAGTTTACTATTATTTTATAGTTACTCAAAGTTAAACAAAAACCTTAGTTAATTTTAAATGTTAAAAAAAACCTTGTATATGTATATTACATATCATTCTTCATTTATATCCCAAATCACTGATGATAAAACTCTGAAACATCAATTGAATACATAAAAATTTTTTTTAGTTGTAGCTGTGGTGCTCATGTTTTGTTCTTGTTTACTTGCTTTAAAGGTCATCTGCAAACAGAACTTTTACTTTGGTTTTGTTCCACTAGGATTTATTAGCACTATAGGTTCCTAAGGGAAACATTTAAAAATAAAATCCTTTATTTTCATTCTCATTCTTTATTTTCTTTAACCTTTCCAAAAACATGTAAGACATATATTTGTAGGTAAGCCCATATTTCTAACCAAAACCATTGTCAACAATGTAGTTATGATATTCCTGTAATTATCAATTATAGATCCATAGAAATGTAATTATTCTGCAGCATTTCTGATGTGTAAAAATAATTCATCTTTATCTGAGCTTATTGGTAAAATCTGTCGTCACATACAAAGTAATGCAATTCTTCATGGAAATTTTACAGATGGGTATAGAAATTTACATTTGTTATTAGTCCAATATAAATATTATATTTATTTAACTCTGTATTTAGGTTTGTGAAATCACAATTTAACTAGTATTTTTAGAAGAAAAAAAAACTTTAAGGAACAAATATTTTTAGGGCTGACCCACTGGAAGGCCTGTCCAGGATTTATAGATTGTTTATTTACGTATCACTCATTTTTCATTTGCTTTATTAAAGATAATTTTTCCTTGTTTTCAAATTCTCTGCAAGCTGACTTTTCTCTGAATTTGTTTTATTAATTATCAACCTAGTTTAAGTACTTTTGGTATAGTAACATTCTTTCACAAAATTTATTTTCTCAGTTCAAATGATTCCTTTTTGACCTACCCATCTTTTGTTCCATTAACTATTATTTTCCAGGGCTTATAGTTCCACTGATAATATGTTTTTTCACTTTGTTTTACTAAATAATATTTTTCATGACTTATTGTGTCTTTACCTTCTTTTGTTTTATTAATGATTATTTTTCTTTACTGACTTACTTTTCTCTGGCTTATAATTCAGCTACTGACTTTAATTTTACTTTTGCTTATTTTCATGGGGATTTTAAATCTAGGAAAATAATTGTTCTAATTACCAAAAAATTACTGAAATGGAGTAATAAAAATATTATAATCTGTTGAAGTAACACTGAAATATCGATTATTGTAATTATGCTTTTTAATATTACAAATGTGTTTGTGTTTTATATTATTTATATACTGTGATTATCTAATAACAGGTTATACAAAAACATTCACATTTGGTTTTATTGCATCTTGTGGCATTTGAAATGTTCTGTGACCACAATTTCAGAAGTTATTGATTCATTTTTAATGCATGACAATAAAGCAAATTTAAATGGCTTGTGTTTTGATGTGAAATGAAAGCTAAATGATAAGAGTGGCTTATGTTTTTGCTGGCATGGTCATGTTCAACTTTTCATCCTCTGTGATATATTTGATAATGTCATATATGTAAATTCTTAAGTATTGTTTTTTAACAATCAAGCAAAAAAGAAAGAGTGATGCTACAAATTTGATAATGTAAAGAAGGAATTATCACTATGTGCACAACCTTAAACTTTTGTGCTGAAAATTTTTCTGTATTTTTGATTTGGAAAAATAGTTATTTTTTCTATTTTTCTAATCCTTATATCTTTACCTATATTAAAGTGTTTTCTCAGGTTTGTGCAGATCTGAAAATTGTCCTTTTTCTTAAATATTTGCTTCACTTAAGATAATTTTTATCTCATTTACAGATCCACTCATTGCCTCCTCATACATGAGTGAGATTCTTATGATTTTCCAAAAGGCTGTGAAAGATTCTACTAATCAAGAAAAAAATGTGGAAAAGATATCAAGAGTGATAGAGTTTGTGTGTGACTTAGCATCAAACTTGTTCACTAGTTTTAAAGTAAGTAAATCACTTGCAGGTTTTAGATTATCAATAAGATTTTTTTTAGCATCTAAACATGATATTTTACTTTTAGGTAGACTTACAGCTAATACAATAAATATATTTTGACCTCTTCTTCCCCACCCTTCTTCATACCTGATGTCTCTTGATAATAACTTATAGTTCACAAGAAACTTCCTATACTTACCAGCAACCACCACTTATACATATATAACAAGGTCTCTTACATATTGTCATCTGCAGAGGTCAGTTTCGTGACTGACGTATTTGTATGTTCTATGTGCTTTCCTCTGTTTTATGTCATTTTATTGTGTTTTTCTTTCAAAATACATGTATTACTGCAGTGTTTATTTCAGACTTAATTCAGTGAAATTCATATTTTTGCTTCTTGTTAGTTTCAGTTTTGTCTCTTTTAAAGCTTGAGCCATTTTTTGACATTCTATGTTCCTCAGAAAGCTGTTCAGGCAAATCTTGCCTTGTGGTATTTACAAAGGCCCTCAGATGAATGCAGCTTATTTCAGAATTGTATTTTGTACTTAGTTATGCTCTGATCATTTAGATAGGGTTGTACGAGTAAAAATTGTTATTCATGTCATTTTCCTAACAGTTAAAATCCAAAATAGCTAAACTACTGAGAGTCCACCTACAGTGATTTTATCATTTCTCTTTATGACTGAAATTTTTATTTATTTGGAAAATGCAATCTGGACCTGTCAAGAATTGAGATTTCTGTTATTCTTGAGAATCCATCTTTGCCAGGGATATATTTTAGTAGCTCCTGAATGGACATGATGCTTGACTTCAGGTCTGTATGGGGCTCATTTTTGTCTGACTTTGGGTATCATAATATCAGGGTGTTTGTTTAGGGATCCACTGCTATTCTTCTCATGAAGCAAATGCTTTTTATCTTTTTCCTTCACTTCTCAGATGCCTTAGGTTAGATCTCAACATTTTTGAACAAGGTAATTTTTTCTAACTTGGTACTCCTTTTTTTAAACAGTTTTCTGAGATTACAAAATTAACTCACAAGTTCTAAACAATAAATATAATATTGTGTTACTATTAAGTGTTAAATATTGAATATCTTGCTTTTCTTAACAACATAAATCATTAAGTCATGTACTTGCTTGCTTCCTCCATAAAGTAGTTTTCTAGCTATCACACTAGTGCTGTGTATCTGAAATTATATGTTTAGGTATTACCCTTTCACCACAGGTATCCCTTACTGCACATGACACAAAGTTTTTGTGTCTTACATTCAAATTTTATTAAACTACTTTTTAATCCGTATTTTAATAGTATATGTTTTAAGTTCTTAATTCTATTAGGCAATATTTAAAAAAATCCATAATTTCCCCTAGTGTGATACAAGTGACACATTTTCTCTAGGTATCTTCTCTTCTCTATTTTATCCACCACCCCTCCAATAACTATGAAATTAAATGTAAATTACTCATTATAAAATCATCATTGCTCAGACAAACCGTAATTTTTATAGCCTTCAATTTTGTTTGGTTACAGAGCTTTCAAATAGAAAATAGACCCCTTCTGCCACACCCACAAATCACATCCTCTTTTTCAGAATTTGTTAATAGTTCTCTCTTACATTTAATTATATATTAACTATAACTAATAGAAAGCCAAGGTTTTCATCTATCAAATCACATATTATATTATGTTGTATTCTGAACAGATAATCGTCAATTTCACTTGAAATACAACTTTGGTTCCCACGGGAATCACAATGGATAGCTTGGATAAATTTGTAATGGCTCTTATTGAATTGTTAGAAAGCTAGAAATATTGTGATTCTTAGAGAAAATTGTCTGCTTTTTACATGTTATTATTCTATGTTCTTTGGTGCATTATTTAATTAACTAAAGATTATTTAATGCACAACTACCATTAGTATAATAAAAAAGTCAGGTTATGTGTCATTGATAGTCGACAACAAGAAAAAAAATATTTGGGAAAGTAATTTATTTC